CGGTTGTGGCTAAACCAGATGTAAACTATGGAAGCGGGTAACAGTTCAATTCGACACGCTTGTGTGAGATGTGTTCTCTGAAAGGTCCTCGCTTATGCTAGTTTTTACATTCTTTTGCTCTGCAAAAACGTTTTCGATCAATGTTCTTATCTGCATTCATCTTTTGATCAAATATTTGAAGAAAGTATTGACACAGTACAAAGATCATAGAAAACTTCTCTCTTGATTGATTTTTCCAGGAAAAGAGCTAAAGAATCTGTGCGTCAACCTGTCGACGGGACCGAAAGATCGGTAGACGACAACGAAAACAAGGGAAAGCAACAACCCGCCGTTTGAATCGTCGACAATGACTGTTATCGACGAGCCTGCCACGAATAGGACTAACAGGGATTGTACTGATAAGCCAAGAAACTGTAGGCATGCTACTCAGTGCAGGGAAAATGACTTTTGCTAATATGAGCTTATTAAGGGTCCATGTAGGTCTTGAACTTACAACATTCGTGTTATTAGTCTGATGTTCTAATTGGTTCATGCCGGTCTCAAACCTGCGATTTTTGCGTTATTAACACGATGCTCTAATCAACCAATTGAATTAATAGGCCTATGTGGTGCTTCAAACATTCGCTTATTAGCCGAACACTCTAACCAGTCAACCAATTGAATTAATAGGCCTATGTGGTGCTTCAAACATTCGCTTATTAGCCGAAACACTCTAACCAGTGAGCTAATAGGCTTAGAGTTGTGGTGCGTAATGTGGTCTAATTTTATTTTTATTATTATTATTTTTTGTTTTTAGGAACTTGCGACTTTTGCGGTACTAGTATGACTCTAACTACCAACTGCCCTAAGAGGCCATGACCCATGCAAATCTCGAACATGTGACCTTTGCGTTATCCGGTCCAGTCTTTTTTTTTTTTAATTTAAATTTTGTTGGTAAGAATTTAAATCAAAACCTATGTAGGTTTTTGGAACTCGTATTACTAGCATGACACTCTAACAAACTGAGCTAATAGGCCTACAAGTATAGTGTTATTATATCCGAGTTAATAGGCTCACAAGTATAGTGTCATTGATATCCGGTTCAATCTTATCCGGTCCAGTCTTTTTTTTTTTTTTTCAGTTTACAATTTTGTTGGTAAAAAATTAAATCAAAACCTAGGTAGGTTTTTAGTGTTGGATGATGGAAGTCCCACATCGACTAATTTAGGGTGTGATCATGGGTTTATAAGTGGGGAATACTACTTACATTGGTATGAGGCCTTTTGGGGAAGCTCAAAGCAAAGCCATGAGAGCTTATGCTCAAAGTGGACAATATCATATCATTGTGGAGAGTCGTGTTCGTCTAACATGGTATCAGAGCCATGCCCTAAACTTAGTCGTGCCAATAGATTGGTAAATCCTCAAATATCGAACAAAGAACTCTTAAAGAAAAGGAGCCAAGCCCCTCCTCGAAGGCAGTCAAAAATGACTAAGACTCCAAAGGGGTCGAGCCTCGATTAAGGGGAGGTGTTGGATGATGGAAGTCCCACATCGACTAATTTAGGGTATGAGGCCTTTTGGAGAAGCCCAAAGCAAAGCCATGAGAGCTTATGCTCAAAGTGGACAATATCATACCATTGTGGAGAGTCGTGTTCATCTAACATTTAGAACTCTACCATGACACTCTAACAAATTGAGCTAACAGGCCTACCATTATAGTGTAAAAAATTTAAAATCAAAATAATTTGATAAATAATTATGGCCTATGCAGTAAAAAATTTAAAATCAAAATAATTTGATAAATAATTATGGCCTATGCAGGTCTCAAACCAACAGTTGAGCTAATAGGCCTACATATCGAGTGCCACTGATATCTTTGTTCGTAAAAAATTTAAATAAAAATAATTAATTATGGCCCATGCAAATCTCGAACCTGCGACCTTTGCGTTATTAGCACGACGCTCTAACCAGCTGAGCTAATAGGCTAATAGATCAAGTGCCATTGATATCCGTTCAATCTAATTCTTTTTTTTTTTTTTTTTTAGTTTTCAATTTTGTTCATAAAAAATTTAAATAGAAATAATTAATTTTGGCCATGCAAGTATCTTTATTAGCATGACACTCTAACCAGAGCTAATAGGCCTACAAGTTAGAAGTTACTGATATCCGTCCAATATAATTCTTATTTTATTTTTTTAGTTTTCAATTTTGTTCGTAAAAAAATTATGGCTCATGCAGGTTTTGAACCTACGACCTTTGCATTATTAGCACGACGCTCTAACCAGCTGAGCTAATAAGCCTACAGCTTCAATGTGACTGATATTCGTCCAGTCTAATTCTCTTTTTATTTTTTTTTTAGTTTTCCATTTTGTTTGTAAAATAATTAAATCAAAATAAATAATTATGGTCCATGCAGATCTTGAACCTACGACCTTCATGTTATTTGCACGACACTCTAACAAACTGAGCTAATAGGCCTACAAGTCAGATGATATCCGTCCAGTCTAATTTTTTTTAAATTTTTTTTAGTTTTCAATTTTGTTCGTAAAAAATTTAAATCAAAATAGTCCTACAAGTCTGGAACCGGCTATTAGCACAACGCTCTAACCAGCTGAGCTAATAGACCTATAGGTCGGGTGCCACTGATATCCATCCAATCTAATTTTTTTTTATTTTTTTTAGTTTTCAATTTTGTTCGTAAAAAATTTAAAATAGAAATAATTAATTATGGCACATGCAGGTCTTGAACCTGCAACCTTCGCGTTATTAGCACGACGCTCTAACCAGCTGAGCTAATAGGCCTACAGGTCAAGTGCCACTGATATCCGTTCAATCTAATTCCTTTTTTATTTTTTTTAGATGTTCGTAAAAAATTTAAATAAAAATAATTAATTATGGCCCATGCAGGTCTCAAACCTGCGACCTTCGCGTTATTAGCACGACGCTCTAACCAGCTGAGCTAATAGGCCTACAGGT